GGATACTGGTAGGGGGGACTGGGGGGGAAGCCCGGAGGGGGTTGGGGTAGGGAGGCTCACGTTGTTTTCTCCATGCACAGCGGGGGGCTCTCTGTAGCTGAGGGGATTAGTAATGAGGAGTGAAGACCAGTGAGGGGCTTGAAGGGAGGAGGGGCCAGTGATCCCATCACACAGACACCCCTACTCCCCTCGGCCCCAGGCCCAGTCACCGCTCACCTGCTTTCTGCCTGCGGATTTGCCACTTCTGGACAGTTCACACACATGCGATCATATAACATGGGGTCTTTTGTGACTTGCTTCTTCATTTAGCACGATATCAAGGCTTTGTCCACGTGGAAGTCTGTGTCAGCTTCCTCCTTTTCCATGGCTGAGTAATACGTGGCCAGGCCACATGCTGTTTCTCTGTACACAGCTGAGGGGCATCTGGGCCATCTCCACCTCTGGCTGTTGTGAACAAGTACTTCTCTGAAAATTCATCTACAAACATCTGCTTGAGCCCCTGTTTTTAAATCTTTGGGCAGGACGGGTGTGGTGGCTCATGGCCGTAATCCCAGCATTTTGGGAGGCTGAGGTGGGAGGATCACCTGAGGCCAGGAGTTCAAGACCAGCTTGGCCAAAATGGCGAAACCCCATCTCAACCAAAAAATACAACAATTAGCCAAGTGTGGTGGCGTGCACCTGTAGTCCCCGCTACTTACGAGGCTGAGGCAGGAGAATCACTTGAACCCCAGAGGTGGAGGTTGCAATGAGCCAAGATCGTGCCACTGCACTCCAGCCTGGACGACAGAGGGAGACTCCATCTCAAAAAAAATTTTTTTTTAAATAAATAAATAAATAAATCTTTGGGAACCTGCCTGGGAATAGAATTGCTAGATCATGTGGTAATTGTGTTTATCTTTTGAGGAACTGTCAAACTACTGCTTTTATTAAAAATTTCAGCCAAATGCAGTGGCTCATGCCTGTAATCCCAGCACTTCGGGAGGCCGAGGTGGGCAGATTACAAGGTCAGGAGTTCGAGACCATTCTGGCCAACGCAGCGAAACCCTGTCTCTACTAAAAATACAAAACCTTGGCCAGGCATGGTGGTGTGCACCTGTAATTCCAGCTGCCTGGGAGGCTGAGGCAGGAAAATCGTTTAAACCCAGGAGGCAGAGATTGCGGTGAGCCAAGATCGCACCACTGCACTCCAGCCTGGGCGACAGAGCAAGACTCTGTCTCAAAAAAAAATTCAATGACTATTTTTTGTTTTCAAAGTTCTCTTAGGTTTCCTCCCTCCCTCCCTTCCTTTCTTTCTTTTTTGACACAGTCTGGTTCTACATCGCCCAGACTGGAGTGCAGTGCCGCAGTCTCGGCTCACTGCAACCTCTGCCTCCCAGGTTCAAGCGATTCTCCTGCCTCCGCCTCTCAAGTAGCTGGGATTACAGGTTCCACTATGCTGGCTAATTTCTTGTATTTTGATAGAGACGGAGTTCCACCATGTTGCACAGACTTATCTTGAACTCCTGAGCTCAAGCTATCAGCCCGCCTTGTCCTCTCAAAGTGCTGGGATTCCGGGCATGGCCACCACGCCCGGCTGATGCGTCGTTCCCGGCTGATGCGTCGTTCCTGTGCTTGTCCACCGACTCTTTGTGTTTGGCTGTAACCACGATGCATGCTCAGGTGCTCACTGCTGCTCAGAGAGGTCCAGAGAGTTCAGTCACAGGAATGAGGTCTGTAGAGGGAAGAAAGTGGGACTTTTTTATTCTGTAGCTTGTTTTAGACGAAGTGCAGGTCCTCATGGGGGGGGCCTGATGTTATGAGGCCTGCACTTCGTCCCTCGAAACCAGCTACGAATAAAAAGTCACTGTTCTTTTACGCAGACTCAGTTCCTGTGAGACCGTGGCTCTCTGAGCAGCGTGAGCACCCTGAGCTGCCTCGTGGTTACAGCCAAAACACAAAGAGTCGGTGGACCAAGCACAGGAGGAGCGGCGATCAGGCCGGGCGTGGGTGGCCGCGAGTTGCCGGATCCAGCACTTTGTTTGTTTTTGGTTCGGGGTTCGTTTTGATGACGATTTGTTGTTTTTAGCTTGAATCGGAGGTGTCAAGTGAGTTCTTCCAGATTATGGCTGGAATTTTCTCTATCAAAGTGAGAATGAGGTTAGCGCGGCAAGTTGGATTAGCCTCTTGGGAAGGCGATGGGTTTC